GTGTTTCTTTTATGGTCTGAGTAAAACCCGATGAACGAAGCGGAGAGAGCGGGGGCGAATAGGCACCGGTATAGTTCAGATTTCTTCGTTGCGTTTAAACTCTCAAGGTTTTTCTTTTCATTACAACCGGATGCGAGGTTGTCCATTTTTCTAAGTAACACGAAGTTATGTGTAGGAAATGTACAGTCTACAACTATTCTAAGGAAATTTGAAATTACTTTCCTGTTTGTACGCACACTGCCATTGTTGTGAAGTCGGTGATTAAATTGATTTTATCAAAACCACGGAAACCTGCATAAAATGATTTTTTTTGCAATTTTGTGCAAATAACAAGTTTATAAGACGTATGTTACTTTGGCAGTGTCGCAAAATTTTAGTGGGCGGGAAAGCTAGAACCTTGACCGCGTGGGAGTTTAGTGGGCTAAAGTTATGACTTCCTTTGTCCTTTACTTTAACAAAGGAATAGACTTTAAGAAAACATGAATTCTTAAATTAAAAAAAAAGCTATACAAAAGATTGTGGTTAAACATGAGTTTTTGCTAAAAATTTCCATAGTATATATCAATTACTAATAATGGAGTCAAACATAATTATATATTATCATGAAGTAACATTTTCCTTGTACCGACTAATGTTTTTGTCAATAAGATTAGTTCGTGGTAATGTCGTGAGTGAGCTTACGGCAGCTAAGCACAATGTAGGAGAGAGGCGAGCGGCTTGGCGCCGTGTCAGCCGTGCTCAGACTCAGAACACAACTCATTATAAATTATTTATTTTTAACGGTTGTCCTGACTTGGAAGAGTATTTCGCTAGAATATTGAAAACAGAAGGTTAGTTAGTTTTAAATTTTATATCAGGTAAGAGCGGGCGCACATCTTTGACTAAACTGTCCCACAATTTTTGCGCTATTGTCGATTGTTTCGCAGCCAATTCAACTGTTTAGTTGCACAACTAAATATCGAGTAGTATGCGCACCTCCATATAAGCTCATAGGAATCAAAACTAGACTAAACAGTTGTGCGATAGTTTAGTTTCAGGTGGACGCTCTGAATGTTACCTGTTAATCAATATTTGTCTTAAAATTGAATTAAACGTGATGTTATTTTGTTTTTCCTTTGCTTAGATCACGTAGAGCATTATAAACAGAGATGACGTAGCTAGGAATGACAAACTGGAAATGGACATAGCATAGATATATGTATGAATATATACAATGAGGTACTCTGTGTAAACGAGAAGCAGAACCGGTCCTGCAGCTGCGCTCGCGCCATCTATACAGCTTGTGTACATATCTTCCTATTTTGAAATTTACCAACAACTTTGTTGACATATACGTTAGACAGAATGAATGAAGTATAGTGGGGTTTGTACTAATTTTAATCGACATATTAAATAATGTTTGTCGTGCTAATGTATACAACATATAAAAGGACATTTTAGTGGTAATCAAAATTGTAAACTAAAAAAAGAAACTAGTTTTGCTACTACAAGCCAGTCATAGGCCTAATGGCAACGACCGAAAAATTAGTGCCGCTCTTGGCCGTTCAAATATCGGACATTATAGAAAACTGCAATTTACACTTCAAATATGAATTTACTAGCTTTCGCCCGCGACTCCGTCCGCGTGGAATTAAAAAAAAAACAAAACAAAGTAGCCTATGTGTTCTTCCAGACTATCCTCTACGTCTATGCCATGTCATTTCATCGAAATCCGTTCAGCCGTTTAGGCTAAAAACTCTAACAAACATCCATCCATCCATCCATCTGTCCATCCATCTAAACTTTCGCATTTATAATATAAGTATGATGGACGCGTCCGAAACTGATCGAACATCGTTAAAACAAACAAGAACAACAATCTACATCTCAATGGTACATAAGGGTTAAGTTTCTTTAAGCTTCCTTTTTTATACTAATAAAAAAATCCTATAGTCACGTTGACCTTTATAAAAGTACTAGCTTTCGCCCGCGACTCCGTTTGCGTGGGATTTAAAAAAACAAAAGTGAGTAGCATATGTGTTCTTCCAGACTATCCTATACACTTATACCAAATTCAATCGAAATCCGTTCAGCAGTTTAGGCTACAAACTCTAACATCCATCGAACTTTCGCATTTATATAGTAAGATTTCGGTTATGACAATATGCATTGTCTACAAAAAAAAACCGTTTAGACTGTTGAAACATTCAAAGATTAGACCAGCGGGTCGATGTAGTAATCAGCTCGGTAATTGGTTGGCCCAGATTGTACTGAACTGGGGGCACGTAGCGCCACGACTCAGTTCTCTAAACGTGCCTAAACCATGGACAATTACAATTGGTACAACTAATTATCTACATTAAGTTAAATTATATAATCAATGTTTTATGTTAAAGAATGATTCAGATGTTTTAATGTTATGCGATAATTATCATAATACGGTTACGTGAATAAAAGATTCAACAGATAACACATATGAAAAGAAAAGTATACTTAGCATTAATGCGAATTTATGTGTTTTAATATGGAAAGTAACACGTTCACTGCGGCAAGTAAATCATAATTCTTCATCTGATGCGGCGGCGGGCCAAAATGCGCCCCCAATGATATTTCAACCAGTGCGTGGCAGGTCTTTTTAGACCCACCAGCAAAGGGAAAACAATATCACAAGAAATATGAAACAGCAAATCATTATAAATATACGATCACTTGCCTTAAACATTTGTATTTTCAATACAAAATTTGTCTGTCATTTTATAAAGTATACGATAATAACAAATTAGACGTTAAACTAGACACAAGTTAATGTACACCGTTATAAGAAAGTTGCAAGCATTGTGGTAAAAGTTTTAATTAGCGGATGTTATCTGCACAGCGAGTTGTTTCATTGTCTGATCACTTTAATCTTAATCTCACTAAAATCAACCACAAAACACGCTATAACAAACAGTAAATAGTCTAGTAAAGGGGTGTCGAAACACTGGCACGTGATATAAATGTCATATGAAATAATATTTTAGGTACGTTGAAAAACAAAAAACTACGAAAAAAATAATAAAGTAGGTGCACCGTGGAATTGACGTAGTAATCGCAGTCTTATTCGATGGCACGTCTAAGACAGCATTAAACATTTCTTTAAAAAATGTTACAATGATGCATAAATGTTCGCCACCCCTGGTCTTGTATGTTTTGGTCTTAACATTCAATGTGCAAAAAGAAGTGTTCGTGTAAGCTAGTAAGCAGAGTATGTTTCTGCTAGAAATCAAGATTCTTGCGTGCAAATGTAATAAAATAGTGATTTTATTAATCTTATTATGTTAATATTGTAGTTATAATACTCGAGGTCAAAGTTCTACGAACTCGTTCACGGTCTCTGTCGTTTGCGAGGAACGCTAAGTTTAAACTAAGTTCAAACAGAGCCTACACGTGACAGTGGCGCCCTCGTGCGATTTAGAACAATGCTGCAATCTAATCTTGATTCTATTAATATTCTGTTTTATATACTACTAGCTTTTGCCCACTACTCCGTCCGCGTGAAATTTAAAAATGAAACAATATAGCCTATGTTACTTACAGATAAGTAACCTTTCTAAGGGTAAAATCATTTTTAAAATGGGCCCAGTAGTTTATCATGACAATCCAACAAACAAAGTTTTCCTCTTTATAATATTAGTACAGACACATATTAAAAAAACATTGACTAATTTTCTTCTTATAAATACTAAAAAATTGCATATTCCTCAAGAGAATAATAATTTACTAAAAAGCATTTTTTTATTCTATAAATAGCATAACTACGTAATTTGTGGTTTGTGTTTGCAGTAAAATATAAAATAAACAATAGGGTACAGGTAATAAATATCAACAATACGCGATAAAGAAACAAAAACAGTATACAAAAACATAGACAATGGCAAAGGCAGAGGAAAGTCCATAAAATAGATAGTGATTGGACGTGGCTAAATCTTGCAGGCGCTATTCTATAGAACCAGTTCAACCAGTAAGACAGTATCCCGGCGTATCCAGGCTCAAGTAATGAAGTAGCTATTTTAAGTTTATAAAGCTTTAAAGGTCTTAAGTACACTTTAATGTAGGTAAACTTTAAGTTACATAGGTATTACGTGAATAGTAAACAGTAAATGATGTAATACTCAGAATTATACACAAATGACTTCTTCTCTGTTTTCTACACTAATATAATAAAGAGTATTTGTATTTTCCTATGTATTTGATTCACGTAAAAACTACTGGGCCGATTTTAAAAATTCATTCACCATTAGAAAGGTAATTTATCTGTGAGTAACATAGGATATGTTTTTAGTATTTTTTTAATTGTACGTGGACGTAGTCGCGAAAAACAACTAGTCACTTAAACTCTTTAGGTTTGCCGATGACATCGTGACGTCACATGTTAAATATTGGTACTGAGGATACCAAAACGAGTCGCGGACAATTAGGGGAGGTACATTCATCGACAAACTTTCAGCGAACGGCTAATAGTACAAACAGTAGAAAACATAAACTGTGATAGTTTATGTTTTCTACTGTTTGTCAAAAAGTGTAGTCATAAATTACAAGGAAAACGTGCTTAAGTATTGTTTTCATGAATTTACTTTAGAATAGGACAAGAATTGGGGTTCATTGTTATAGAAAAGGTCACGTCTGAACAGTCTGCGAGCAAGCGAAGATGATTGTTCGTTTTAAATCCGGCCATGATGCGGCAATCTTACTATTTAGAATGAGTTGGACGTCAAATTTAATATTCATTGTCATTCACGATCACATGAAATATCAATTGAAATCTGCTTTCACTGATATTATCAACTTTTAACACGCCCTAAATTCGTTAGGGTTTAGGTTACTTCTTAACAAGAACAATCAGATAATTCCTATTTACTTGTAAAATGTGACAAAGATTGATTCAGTTTGAACCAGCTAACTAATAAGCTGTGACTCACTGGGTACTTTATCCGGTATCCTTTTAAGTTTGTAAGTTTGCTGTGATAAAAACATGCACTTACCTTTAATGCGCAAAAAATACAGGAAGGTCCGAGACAGGCGTGGCCGGTGAGCTCGCGGAAACTGCGCCGGAAAATATCCAGATGCCATAGAACCTGCAAATTATAATGATTTAGTTTTACAATGTAGTAATTAACTCGATTAATGCTGGGTTTCTGATGTTTTCATTTCTTTTATCACTACCTAGTGATTCATTAGGAGTAAAACTCAAGTTACATAGTTCGGACACACATTTGGTGAAGTTATCGAACCATAAGTGCTTATTAATGGTTAAATATAGCTGGAAAACCAGCCATAAGAGACTGAAAAATTAAACATTAACAGAAACCATCATCCGTGTACATGTTTAAATTACTAAAAAATAAGTTATTGTTACTTCTGTATATCAGATTTAGTAAAAGACAAAGTGCGAGCAGTTTCGTGCAATAATATAGGATTTGCTGGTAACAGTTTTATCAGCTGCGTTAAACGGTTATTATCAGCTAATACAGAGTATGTAAATGTAACTTGTTATATAGCAAAATAGTAACTGCTATTAAAAGAACATTAAAATGTTTTTTCGTGACAGGCTGTCCCATGCACAGGTGATTAGTTTATTTTTCTATCTATTCAGGTGCGTTGTACGTTCCCTTATTAGAACATCTGTTATAAAATTACTTCTAATTGTATCCACATGAGCAATAAATTATTGCTGTATTTCTAACATTCGACATTAATAACTAGATTTATGACGATGGTTATTAGGCTAAGTGAACTTTTTTTAGTATCGATTTCATTCAAATTTTAAATCAAAATCGATCAAAAGCTTACACAAAACTGTCCATTTTTAGTACTCGCCATGGAATATTTTAGATACGCTTGTATGATCTAGATTTTACAAGATTGAATTATTATTTAGTACAAGAATTTTAAATTATAACAACTTGTAAGTTTATTTTTATATCTACTATGAATGAATTAATGAAATAACCCACAACTCCCTAATATTCTTACTTTATGATATTTTGATGATATACTAAGGTGAACGCGTAACACGTGACTCGACATCCGCGTCAGGTGCGACGCCAGGTGGGTCCGCAAAAACTGCAAGGCGACGAAAACGGTCTCGTGTGCATCCCACCTATTCCTTAGTACGTGACAAGAACACGTGTGTATTAAAATGTATGTGCCTGATGCCTATAACCATATGCTGCATCATTTAATTGGAACAGGTTTTTGAAAAGGTGTTACAATAAAATCTAATTATTGTCACAAGTACTTGTAACATTACTCCAAGTAAAAGTGCTTTTAATATTATATCTTTGTCTATGTCACGTTATTGAGCATATTACACGAAACAAAATTAAAATACACAGTTTTGTAAATATTTATTCTCGAATACCACTAGCTTTTTAATTCAAACCTATATTGAATCTACATATTTAATCTTGTAATTAAGAAGCAAAAGTTTAGCGTGGTATGGACATGTTATGCGACGAGACGATAGGGACATGAACAAGAGAGTGTTAAGAATGAATGTGAATGGTTACAAAGAGGAAGACCGAAGAAAGTATGGATGGATTGTGTGAAAGAGGATATGCTTAAGAAAGGAGTGGATTCAGATATGACGGCTGATAGAGATGTATGGAAGAGCAGCACATACTGTGCCGACCCTCCATAAGGGACAAGGGCAAGTGGATGATGATCAATTTATCTATCCAACCGATGCCTTATAAAGCACTTTTGAGTATGAGACAATATCCTTCGTTTCAGTAGAATCGTTTGTATGATAAAACTATGTTTATCGTTTAATCTTATCTATTTTAAGGTATAGCAACCCTGGATAGTTGTATATGGGATCACCTGCTTTGTGCGCGATGCGCGGTGTATTTGCGATTGTTTCGGGCGTCTGGCGAGCAGGTGTTACCAACCCGTTTAGGCAGATGTCGGGACTGACTACATTGATGCTCCTCTCGAAATATCACGGTTTTTTTTGCACCAGAGAGAACTTTATTGAAGTTAAGATACTTCTGTCTGATATAATAAATGGTTATTGACATTTTTAAATCGCAGTTGTAATATAATTTTTCAGATTAACTCTGTGCTAAGAATCCATAGATAAAGTTACGAATGGAAATACAAACTTTTGCCGGCCATTCCGGGATGATATAAATGTAGGGTTAAGTCTACGTGTTCTTCCAATGTTCTACATCTATACCTCTTTTATCATTATATTCTAATAAACATCCATCCATATGATTCGCATTTATGTTACTAAGAATTAATAAATAATAATAATAATAATAATAATAAATATATTATATATAAAAATAAGAAAATAAAGATATGAGAAAATTATTATAATTAATTTAACTCATGTAACAGAATATTATAATTATTACATTTCATAGAAACTTGAAATAGAGTGCAACAGGCAAGGCTACTTCCAACCAGCAGTATACTTGACGGTATTATATTCACTTCTTGGAAACGGCATCAAGTATCATGCAATGTATTAATGCTGATTTTCAAAAGTCACGTACCCGGAATAATGGTTAAATATCCACCGCTCCTTTCTTGTATCTTTGGCGATAGAACATTCAAAGAATTACAATATAACAAACATTTAATACGGCGAAATTGTTATTTATAAATTAACACTTTTATGTATCTACTAAAAAGTACTTGGTAATAATATGCTTGAATTTATGGAGCTTGCAAACTATTTTTATTTTTTAGATTATTTATTCCCATTTTTGATGAAAATAATAAGAAAAATATTTTAATTACATTTGGAGAATCTTAAACACAGATGTGTCTATAACAAGAATATTACAGGTGTTTACAAGCTATGTTAGGTATCTATGTCGTCTATGTTAAGACGGGCGTCGTGTGCGAGGGGCCTTATTTGGATTGGCTCGTGACGGACGAGTAGGGTCGCTGGGGAGACGAGCATGGATAACTAAACTCGACGGTTACGAGAAAAGGACGTATCTAGGTAATGTTTGCACTGATAAGATTTCTTTCTTCACAAAGACGTTATCGTTTTTGTTGACTTTCGTGTTGTAAATTGTTTGCTAAGGATTTTATATTTGCTAATACTTAATATTCCAATTCTACTAAATGTGAGTAATAAACAAAATTAATCATCTTAACTGCAAACTACTGTCCTCCTTAATCTATATTTCTATTTTTTAAAAGTTTAAAGAAGCCAGAGTTTCTCAAACATCTCTTTTAATCTGAAAACCTGATTTAACTCATATAAATTTCCGGTTTTAATCTGTACAGTTTGAGAACCACTGTACTCTAGCTTTTAACGAGTTACGTCGGCGAGCGTGCCGCGTATTATAACGGGACTTAGCCACTAAATAACAGTTCATATGGCTATTCTAATACTCACCACATTATAATATAAGCTATCTAAAATAATTAAAAACTGTTTCATGCTCGTTTTATTATTATATTGATAAAAGAGACAAATAGTTGAAGAGCTTTTTTGTTATGAAATAGTTACTTAATTCGCGTATAACATCAGTTAGCTATAGATTTTAGTTACTAAAGTAAAGTTAATCTTCGAGAAGATAGTATTTCGCTGTACTCGCCTCGGAGGGTGCACTACCGCGCATCAAGAGCTTTAGACTAAAACCCTCTTATTAAAATAAAATATAGCCTATGTTACTCAGTGCAAGCATAGCTTTCTAATGGTGCCAAAATTGTTGTTATCGGCCCAGTAGTTTTTGATTATTTCAATATATACAAAAATCCAAACCTTTCCTCTTTATAATATTAGTATAACTAGACTAATAATTGCCCATGCAGACTAGACTATCGGCCAATACCTTAGTCGCCTAATTAGTATGAAAATATATGAAGATGCTCGCATTGCACCGATTTATAATTCGATAAAGAGTCTGTAGTCAAAGTCTCTTGCAAATCACGCACTTATACGCAAAGAATATAGCAGTAAGAAACAAAAGTATAAACATTACATCTCAGATAACAAGACTACGTAGGGATGATGAAACGGCTGACAACATAGAACCTAAGAACAAGATTAATTCTCGGTCGTGTATTAACTACTCGTTTTTTGTTTCGAAGATATTGCTTCAAGTAGTTCCCATTATAAGAAATGCAGTGAAACAGAGGGGAAAGCTTTTATAGACGAAGAACGCGCTGATGCGATGAACATATTGCATTTATTATCAAAGAAAACCACAATTAGATGGGTCGTGAATCGCGTGGGAATACAGATATCTTTCATCTTAATCTAAATATAATATACATAACTAAATACTATATATATTTTACTATGATTATGACGTTACGAAATTAAGAAAGTACAATTGCAATGGCGATAGAAGATAAGAAACTTGTAGGCCTTCTATAACTTCTTACAGACACGAATATTTTTGACCGACTTCCCAAAAGAAGGAGGTACTCAATTCATCTGTACGTTTTTTTTATTTTTTTTTAATTGATCAATATTGTTGAGTATGTATTTACCGTACATTGTATCCCCATAACTCATTGAAAACGTAAATATTTAAAATGAAAAATTGACAATACTATAAGGATGCAAATTAAACAATTTTAATTGCACAAAATATAGTGAATATTGTAATAATTGACCTCAATTTGCCGTTTGCCACAATTGAGCGATGCAGGACGGAAGTCAATTTGAATCAAAATATAGTTAGTGCACTTCCCCTCCGGAAGTGACGCGCCTAAACTTTTTACCTGTTCAAAACTTCGGTGCACAACTTGCTGATACAATGCGACCTTTATAGAAAAATTTGCACCTGCTTAAGTCTATCTAATAAGGAATCAAGCGCTGGTTGTTTTAATTATTTTCGTGTTTCTTTAGCATTTAATTTGTGTAAGTACCTTTAGCTTTTAATGTTAATAAATATATTTTTTTTTAATTCTGTTCTTTTAATATTGATTATAATTATAAACCTTTTTCATATGTGTGAAGTCAACCAACCATTGATAGGCTAGTGTGGTTAACTATGGTCTAGTCATGTCTAAATCCGTGTAGGCTCCGGAAAACTTAGTGTGGATGCATTCTTAGTAAATCAACGATATAATCTATACTATTATAATAAAGCGTAAACAC